ATTACGCCAAACATCAAAGTCGAACACACGATCTCCTTCCATTAGCACACTACAAAGAAGGAAAAAGAACATAAAAGATTAGGACTTACAGTTACAAGTTGAAAAGTTCGGGGCACTTGGTCCTGAACTTCAAGTTTCAAGTTAAAAAGTTAAGGACAATAGGTCCTGAACTTCAACTTTCAAGTTCAAAAGTTAAAGACACTTGGTTCTTAACTTCAAGTTTCAAGTTAAAAAGTTAAGGACAGGCAGTCCTTAGCTTATAGTTTCAATTTGAAAAGTTAAGGATAACTGGTCCTTACCTTTGAATTCCAAGTTCAAAAGTTAAGGACGCTTGGTCCTTAACTTTGAATTCCAAGTTCAAAAGTCAAGGAGACTTGGTCCTGAACTTTGAATTACAAGTTCAAAAATTAAGGACAGCTGGTCCTTAACTTTGATTTTCAAGTTAAAAAGTTAAGGACACTTGGTCCTTAACTTCAAGTTTCAAGTTCAAAAGTTAAGGACACTCAGTCCTTAACTTTGAGTTCGAAGTTCAATAGTTAATGACAATTGATCCTTAACTTTTATGAACACAGTTAACTAACAATTCATAAACACAGGTAGCTTATGAATTCGTACGACTATTTTTATGAAATGTCCTTACATAATCAAATATATTGATTGAACCACAAACACATTTTAATACCAAAATTTTCTGAATAACTTCCTCACAAAAACCCGCTACTTATTTGACACTAAATCAACTTATAATCATTATTTTGAAATTTCACACATACTTGACAAAGCATTGATCGAGATTAGCATAAAAGCAAAAAAAATAAAAATACAAGTTCGATCGTTCAATGCACAGAAGATGACAGAGAAGATGACGAAGGAGAAAGATTCAGTGCAACTGGTTTGCATGCGAAGGAGCACGGGAAACTTGCCTCTGAAATTTTCGCTCTCAATTTTCCCCTCTAAACGAATAAAATAAGGGTTTGGGAATCTAAGAATTGAAGAAAGGATAAAACTGTCTTTTCAAAATAATTTTAACAGAGTAGTGGCTATTTTTGCTCAGCATCAGAATTAGTGGATAAAAAATAAAGACCACCTTACTTAGTGGCTACCTCACGCCATTTTTACTAATTAAAATTGACAATTGATCGATCGTGCTTTATGCACATATTAAGTAGGCGTTTGGACATTAAAAAAACATGAGATTCGAGAAAAGTAATTTTTGAAGTTAAATTGAAAAATATATTTGAAAATTATAATTGCGCCTCGACATGCATTTCACTTGATTTTTTTTATTTTTTTATTGTCAAAGTTAATCCTTTTGCAATTGCATATTAAAAATTTAGTGAATCCCCTAAAACTATCAAGTAATGACGTGTGGGGTATGCATTCGAATAGGTTTATCAATGAATCGAATCGATTATTTGTTATCGGTTTATCGATATCGGTTTATCGATTTATCGATTTCGATTTCGAAATTTTCCTTATCGAGTTATCGATTTCGATTTCGATTTTGTCCTTTTCGGTTATCGGTTTATCGATGAACCGATAAGATATACTAAAAAGACAAATATACTCTTATTCTATAATACCCTTTCCTTTACCCTAAGTCCCTAACCCTATTATTTCATCTACCCATTCTTCAGCGCCGCTTTTACCTTTCTCCCTCTCTCCCGCGAACTGCGAACCCAGCAGAGAAAGTGAACTCCGGCGTACTCCGGCGACTTCAATAGTACGTTTCTCCCTCTCTCTCTCCGTGCTTTTGTTACAATTTATAGCGATATACTTTCAGTGGAATCCTGCAAATTTTCTTATTGATGTAATTGATAACCGAATCGATAAGCCCCAAAAATCGATAAATCGAAATCGAAAAAATCGAAACCTTATTGAAAGGATAACGATAAGCATATGTACAAATCGATAATCGATAAGTAATTATCGATAAGGGTCAAAATCGAATTGATAAATCGAATGCACACCCCTAGCGGAGACTCTCTAGCTATATTTTTATAACTGCTTCTTTCCTTTTAATTTGACTCTATCTTTGTGAGCTGCTCACATTGTTGATAGCCAAAACAAAACTAAACAAATCATGAATCTTAACAATACAGATATTATTTTTGTTCTGTCTCAGTTTCACTGAGAATTGCACGTCTTCAAAATTTTCAGAAATCATGCCTTGAGCATCATATATATATATATATATGTATATTGAACAAGGCATTTTAATTTAAGTACAAGCATTTGGAAACTACAGTACAAAGCTTGCGATATTCTTTATTCAAAGTTCTTTCCATGACATATTTGGAAAGATCACACACACTCAAAACACTATATATGATGGAAACCAAAAGAAAAATACTTTGAAACTCTCAACATAGTTTGATAAAACTCCATAATTATAAGCAGGTAACTCGTGGAATTAGTCTAGCTAAATGCAAACTGACTCGGACACCGCGGTTATAAGAAAATGCTCGTAATCATTTAGGCATAGACGGTAGGATTGGCAAGAAGGTAATTTTCAACAGCCTTGAAAAGTTCCATGGCTTTATCTTTGCCTTCATTATGTTCTTCTTCCTTAAAAACATAATCACCTTTTGTGTGGTACTCAGTTGATGTCTTGCAAATACAACCTCCATTTGCAGAAGTTTCGAATTTGACATCATAGGTAATAGATTCCAATTTGTCTCCTAGAACATCTCCTTCGATAAGTGAATATTTGGTTACCAAATTCTTGTCGTCAATCACATGAAGCTTGTGCTTCAAATACTTTATTGGACCACCTGTCATTTTACAAAATAAAGCAGACTTATTTTCTTGACAAGTCTAAGAACAAGTTTTTGCAAATAAATAAATAATAATAATAATAAATTATTTAATTATACGTTGTTCTTGATATTTTCTGAGTCTTTTAAAGAGGATTTAAGTTATACAGACTGATAGCATACGTAATTTTAATATTATTGGTGTAATATATATATATATATATATATATATATATATATATATATA